GTCATGTATTTTATGACGTCACCAATTCGTGTGTAGGTACTGCTTCTAGATCTGTGCCGCGTAACTTTATAAAAGCAAGGTATTATGAAAGGGCGATAGTCATCACACAGCACGTGTTCGAATTTCATGTAAACAAACAGTGTATTTTACATGCGTTGTATACTTCGCTATATGTCCCATATTGACCAGGACCTGGTGCGACAACCACAACCATTTAAAACACTGAATGTAAACGTTTATTCTAAATATAATAATCACATTCATGTGGTCAGTTGTTAATTGTTCATAAAATTGCATATAAGTTAGCAGGTACATGTATGGTACATTTCAGATGTTGTTAACCATAAATTTAGATTAAAATTAATACAAAAGCTTATGATTTGATTTTGTGCCACCCTCTGATATGCATAAAACTGATTGTGGATTGGACAATACTTAGATCATTTTAAAACTACATTTATAATCATATTCGTAGTTGTTGTGATTGGTTGGATGGTTTTCATCCACAATTATTAACTGTAAACTACATTTGTGGATTAGTTAAGATGAGTATAGATACTTGTGAGTATATGATGTACATTTCATAAAATTAAAAAAACTACTTATTGGCAGTCTCAATTAATTCGCACACCAAGTTTATTTTTAAAAGTTAATATTGACATATCGATACTTTGATGACGTCATCCTAGGGCGGAGGTATGTATGGGGGTCTAAAAACTAACTCTGCAACGCGATTGTGCGACTCGCCGAATGTTGATTATTGCACTCTGCGACAGGATCGCAGTGTCACTCTGCGAAGAGCACGATTCCCATTGGTTGGTTGGTCGAAAAGCGTGAATCTCAATGGTCGATCGATGTAAGGGTACACAGCATGCCTTATGGAAATGTTTAGTTTTAAATGGTTATTTCGCCGACTGCTCGCGAACTACGGTAAACAAGTATTTACCGCCGACATGCCGCACGGTTCGGTTATCAGCAAGTATTTAACATTGATTAATTAACATATATAACATCCCCCGGAGGGGATGAAAGGGGTTACAAAACACATGCACGTTGGTGTTGGCTGCCTTATTACGGTGTAACATCAGGGAGCTGGTAACATTAACGCCATCTTCAAGTTGTAAGGCTTCGTCCGCAACAATGCTCATTAGCATAGGCGTCAGCTTTAAAGCGAGTAGAGTGCGAAGTACGTTTCACACGATGTTACGTTATTTTTTTTTCATTAGCAAGTATAATTTGTTATGACTATATTCATCACTTTAAATTCCCAAATAAAAGCGTGTAGCGGGTCAAACTGTTTCTAGGCAATCAATAT